ACCCGTGTTCGCCGCTGATAAGCCGCAGGGCCTGATACAGAGGGTCACGGACGGTCATCATTTGACCCTACGCGAGCTGACGACTAACGCAGCGCTGACAGATGAGGCGAGGGCAGAGCTGCCGAAGCCTCAATTTTTGTTCGGCGATGCCATGGCTGACCCTTCCGCCCTGTTGCTCAAGGAGAGCAGGTGGTTCCGCACGATAGAGGGGACTCATTACTACCTCCCCATCATGTCGAGGGGGTTTTCGATTGTCGAGCTGCGGTCCCTCGCGATTCCTCGGACGATGAACTGGGACTTGACCCCCACTCAGGACGGGGTCACTTGTGGCATCTTCACGGGCTCTACGGCTGGGTATGGAGTGGAGAGCTCATGCAAGCACGTGACAGGTTTGCGCCCTGGCTTAATGTCCGCTGAACCGCCGAACCACCCGTGGGGGAGTCGACAGCGGTAGCGGAGACCTTCCGTCATCGCTTCTTCCGAGCTGGTGGGAGCTTTCCCCCGAAGGACTTTAGAGCCCCGGGGTGGGTCTATTCTGCGCCTGGCAGCGACACGTGGTGGTCCAAGATCACCGAATATGTTCTGACCGAAAATGCCGACCTCAAGGGCACAGAGCTGTATGTGGCCCTCGAAGCCACTCAACACGGCCTGCGGATCAACGCTTCTCAGTTCCACAGCATCCTGGAACTGTATTGTGCGGAGAGCGGCACATTTTTCACCCCCAATGGTGAACTTGGTATCACCCCTCACGAGATGCACGAAGTGTCGGGGCTGCCTCTGGGAGACTTTCCTTACGAGGAGTATGTCCCTGACCAAGATGAGATTGATCAGCTGTCGGACTATTCCCCCCTGGCGGTTGAAACTCTGTGGGAGTTACTCTGCCACTACCACATCTGCCTCAGTACCCTAGGGGCATCGGATCAAAAGGGGAAGAAGAAGAAGACCCCGGGGATCAGCCACAAGAACTGGGCTGATTATCTGTTCCCGGGGAACGATGTTAAAGGGAAGCCCGCTCTCCCGTTGGGCACGTGCGACCAATCCGAGGTGGAGGCGAGGGCAGCTAAAGAAGGAAGCACCATAACTCTCGATCGCGACGAAGGCGGATTTAAGTCTGGTACGGTTCTTCACTCCTTCCATCATCAGGCGAAGTTCCTCATCTCGGGGAAGGCGCTGTTCGCGGGGTACCTCATGCTATGGCTGAAGAGGTGCGTAATCCCCACTCACTCCTTCGAGGCCCTTCCTGTGGAAGTCGTGTATCCGGCGGTTTGCCTAGCTCACGGGAAGTCTTATTCCCTAGTGTCGGCGACGATAGCGTGCATCCATCGGGGGCTCCGCGCCGAGCCAATTCTGCCGTGTGTCGGTCCTTGACGAGGGGGATGGCGAAGTTATCAGAACCCCCAACCCTAGGGTGGGGTTACCGTACACCTACTTGATGGCGTGGTTTGTATACCACTGCGAATGTTTGATGAGCACCCCGGCGGCGCTTTAGGGCGACAAGTTTGTCCCCTTTGTCCAGCGCTTGGAGAAGTGTTCTTGGAAGTGCAAGGACATTCCTGATGCAAGGAGGACACTCTCCCACTTCGGACATTATAATTTTCGCCGATCCTTCCCTTATTTCAGTGGGGGCGGATACGGAGAATCTCTCAGGGATGAGCCGATGGTGCCTTTCGCTGGTTGGTGAATATCCGACCGGGGTATCACATTCTGAGAACGGGCCCTACATGCTATCTCGAGCCATACATCCCCTGCAGGTTCGCCCGCCAATTTGGGTATGATCAATTGTACGTGGGGAACGCTAACCCTCATCTGCTCTTTGAGGGGGGACTGGTTGACGGAGCTCGGGGATGGTTCTGGACCCATGCTGGAGGTACCCAGGCTCGTTTTGAGTTGCCCGCGAAGGACCGCGATTTACACCACACGCTCTTGTACTGTCGGTGGTATCGTGGCGCTAGCGCTACTCCTGCCAATTTCTGGTTCCAGAGCTCATGTCTGGCGGAACGCGATCGTCCTGTCAGGGGCTCTCTTCGTTCCTCCAGGCGAAGGGGCCACCAAACTGCTAGGGAGCTATTCTCGGAGGATCCAGCGGAGGACCTTGAGAGCTTTGGCGCTGGTGGCGAACCTGAGGCTCCCGAGGTTCGAGCTCCTGTCCAGAGTCCGGCAATCAGACAAATGGGGGTGCCTCTGCTATCCCCGAGTAGCTCGCTCCTCTCGAAGCGTCAGCGGGAGGCAATGGCCGAGAGTTCCCGAGTGGAGGTGGCCAAGAAGACCCGCTGTGATGAGACAGTCGAGACCGTCCGAGCGACAGGGGGTCGGGATGACGTTTCTCCGATAAGGAGCCCCGGGGTGGCCTCGCTTCCCCTGCCGCACCGGGGGCAGTTCAAGAGACTTCGAGGGGCGTTTCTCAGCAGTCTGGCGTGAGGCCACAGGCGGGAGTCCCGACGGCTTCTGAGTCCACATCAGGAGGTAAGCTTTGTGCTAGTACCCTTGACTGCAATGTTGATCCCTCACCTTTTGATGTTGGTAATGGATCCATGCAGGTGCGGTTGAGAAAGTGATTTCGATTCCTTCCGACGAAGAATAAGAGGTTGGAGATGAGGAGGGACTCGCGGGTTCAGGTAAGTGTAGGCTTTGGCATTACTCCCTCTTCCGTGTCCAATTGTGAACAGGGTCCCTCTCGAGGGGCCCCTGTTAAACTTCTTTGTGCATTTGTAGCTGATCTCGCCCGTGGAGCCGCTGGCAAAGAGGATCCTTACTCTTGGGCGAATCGCTCCTCTGGGGAGACGGGCGAATCTGAGGGGGATGACAATGTCTCGGTTCATGAGGCATTGTCCGGCGAGGAAGAGGATTCGGCTCCTGGGGATGCGCCTGGCCAAATAGGGGGGTCTCCTGCTCCTGCAGAAGCGTCAGCTGGGGCTTGTTCATCGGTACGAGAATCTCCGCTTCAAGGGGAGAGCGAAGAAGGAGTGCGGCGCGATCCGTGGCTGAATTCCACAACACCATGGCTGCCTGCATTGAGCTCGCATTGGAGGAGAGTTGTCCTTTCGAAAGCTTCGAAGAGGATATCGACTATATCATAGGCTTCTTGATCAAGAGGCTCAAGCATTCTGGGGCGCTGCCTTATTTCCAGCGCAAGGAGGCAGTGAAAGAAGCTATCCAGCAGTTGCTTGCCCTTCGAGCGAAGAGTTCCACTCTTGTGGATCTGGCATCCGGCGAAGTCCAAGCGGTGGTGCAAGAGCGAGATCGCCGTCTGAACGAAACTATGTCATTGGAGGCGAGACTGTCAGCAGAGTTGGAGCAGGCCAGAGCTGAGAACGAGCGGATGGTCTTCGAGCGACAGAAGGCTGATAACCGCGTTTCTCGCTTGTCTTCGGAGGTAGAGACTTTGAAGCAGGTCATAGCTAAGGCGCAGGCCTCATTGGCTATTCAGGAGAAGACTCGTGAGCAGGCGGTCAAGGAGTTGAAAAGCATTGAATCTCGCCAGCAGTTGACGGCTAATTCTGTGGAGGAAAAGGAGCGAGCCCATAGGGAGGCCAAAGAGACCGTTCAAGACTTGGCCTCACGCACTGAGGAAGATCTCCGAGGAGAGATTCTGCGGGGCCTAGAGCTTCGTCACGCCAGGGAGATTCGTGAGGCGGAACTGCGGTTGAAAGCCTTGTAATCTGCCTCTTAATTTTCCGCTTGTAATAGGACTTCTTTCATGAATGAAATTATCCCTTTGTTTCTGGTCTATTGTCGCTTGTGTGCGTGCCCCATTCTTGTAATTGTGCATTGATCAGAATTTTGCTGTAAAAGAAATCTCAACTGCAGAGGAGTTCTTGCCAGCGAGTTTCTGCCGTAAGTTAACCTTATCTGCAGGCGAATTTTGTTCACAGGCGGATTTCCAGGAGCTGGCGGCGAACCTCACGTGTCAATTCACGTGTACACCGGTTAAAGGGACGTGGGCTAGCCGTTTCGCATTAAATGCGAAGTAGTGGGCCTCTTCGTCTTTCGCGCCCGATTCGGGTCGTTGTTGAAGAACGTGCTCAAGGAACCGCCAGATCTTGTCCGTCCAGGTAAGATCCGATCTGTTCAGCCTTATTCCTCAACTGCTTCAGCCTTGAACGGTCTAATCGTGGTTCTGGGTAACCGTCTAGGGCTCGTAAGGTATTTAACGCCCTTACTCCCTATTAAGAGGGTTTGCAGCCTCTTCCTCATCTTCCCTCATAGATCCGAATCTTCCCTTTCCTCTCCTTATTCTGATGGCACCGAAGGTGAAGAGAGTTGCTTCCAAGAAAAGGAAGGAGTCGTCTTCTTCAGGGGCTGCCGAGGCCGTCGCGACTGAAGGTATCTTCCTGCCTTGATCGTCACGTGAGTTCAGAAGGTGTTCCTCCTCCGATTTCCTGTATTGTTGTTGTGTTTTGCAGGTCGAGAGGAAGCGTCGGCTGCCAAGGAGCATGCGGCCGAGCCCATTCTGATTTCTGACGATGAATCTAAAAGTCATGCGAATCCCGCTGCTTCAGACCCCGCTCCTCAGCCGGGAGCCGAACCTTGCCTCGAAATTCCGCCCATCACGGCGCTCGCTCCGGGCCAGAAGTCTGTTCCCTCCGAGTCTTTGCCATGGCAGGCTCGCATTGAAGAGTTCGAGAGCGCTGTAAGACAGGTAATTTCCCTTGTCGAACTCGGCATGGGTAGTTTTGACAGCTTCAGGCAGTCTCTCTATGATCGCGTGGCCGATTTACGGCGATCGGGTGAGAATCATCTCGCTACCCGTTGCGTGCGTGAACTCCGCCTCTTGGAACCGCGCATGATGGTGTTAGAGGACTTGCTACGGGGAGGTCCGGAGGCCAAAATGGCATCCTGCCTAGCTCACTTCAGGCGTCAGGAAGCCCTGGAGCAGGAGGCCCGCTCCAAAGAGATAGCGGATTTGGAGTCTGTCGTCAGCTTTTGGGTGAGTCAACAACGTTTGCTAGAGGAGCAAGTCATTGACCTCAACCATACTATGGCTCGCCTGAGGGCCGAGTTGGGACAGGCGGAGGTGAAGTGGAAGGGGCTCCAATCCGACGTTGTTAAGGTGAACGAGCACGCTGAGGCGGAGACTCGGCGCCTGCTGGCTTTGCGCCAGACAGATGCTGCCGCCATGTCGAACCGCGAAGATCGGATTCAAAAAGCTGCTGAAAACAAGGCTCGGGAAGACTACGCGAGCCAGGTTGAGGCGGTCAAAGAAGAGATCTCCACTTTCAGCGTGTTCGACTGAGACTTCTGCCTCATGATCGTTTTAAGACATTTTGTCTGCTTGTCTTGTATTTGGAACTATGCCATGACTCGTAAAGTCATAACTTTGTTCAAATGTATTGTCTTGAAACACTGGGTGTATGTTTTGCTTCTTTGAACATGTCATTATGACTTTCGTAACTTGAAAAGAACATAACTTTGTTCAAATGTACTGTCCTAAAGCATCAATGAGGTTTGTGCCCGCTCATTGTGTGTATTCTCTTTGGATACGTCGCCTTTCGGTGTTTTGCTCTGTAATTGCAGGTGATCTCGTTCCGCAGGTGAAGTCCTTTATGCGGCGACGAGCCCACTTTCGAAGTTAAACTCTACTCTGGTGAGTTTATGTTGCGGGCGAAACCCGTATAGTGTTGGGCTTGTGTTGGAAACCCGACTCGATTCGCCTGGCGAGTTTGATCTGTAGGCGAAGTTTGAGCAGTAGCGAATTCGTCCGAAAATTGGAGTTCCAACCGCGGGCGAAAACTCCTGTCACGTGTCGGTCAGTGGGCCCAAGTGCTTGCCAGCCAAGACTCTGTAGGCGCATTAATGCCCATTTATGGTGAAGCGACCGATCGCTTCGCCTCTCTCGCCCAATCCGATCTGTCGGTTTGGGGTTTCGAGAGTAGCCTTAATGGCGCTGAGTTCGAAGCGCCGCGGGGCGTTCGGACCGCTCGATCGCTTGGGGTGATGAATCCCAGCCGTTGGATTTCACGGCATATATATTCGCACGCGCCCCTCTCCAGCAGAGCCCTTACTACTTCGAGAGAAATCTGCTAAGAAAAAGATCTCCGAGAAAAACCTCTCTCCCTCATGGCTTCCTCTTCTGATCACAGTGGTGCTGAGGGTGTCGGCTCTTCCGCCACCGTCGTCGACGCTGGCGCTCCGGCTGCTCCGCCCTGCAATTCCGACCCCTTGCTCATCCCGCCTTTGCTGCCGTCGAGCCACCTGGGTGGAATTTGCGTGCACGGGGGATCCGATCTCGATCAGCTGTGCGGCGGACCGGCGCTACTATGACAGGCTTCCCGCTGCTGCTGGAGCCTGGCGTTTTAGAGGCGGTTTCGCCGCTTGCTGGTTTGATTGCCTCGCTCACACACGATGTGAGCAGGGAGCTTGAGCGCATTGAAGGGGGTGGAAAATGTACCGCTCATGAAGAATTGCGGCCATATGATAGATTCCTCCGATGCAGCCTGCCGCCCCTTCCACTGTTATCTCGTCGATCGAGCCGCAAGAATCGGGCGAAGCGGAAAATTCAGACGAAGGACGGCTGAGCCTTGGAAACCGCCTGCGGAAGCGACAACAAGTCTGGCTGCCTAGACCGACATGCGACGCCTATCTGCGCACAGCAGGCCTTCTTCATTAGAGCCGACGCTGGCTTCTTCGCGCGCGAGCGAAAGTTACGCGAGCGTCAGCTTGCGGTGCAGGAGGCCTTGGCCGAGGCTACCGCGGCGGTGGACAGGAGCTCCAACTCCTTCGCCAAGCAGCGAAGAAGCCAGCGAGGCGGACTCGGCGGTCCCGGCCGGCAACCCGAGCGGATAGGAGAAGGCCTGAGGACCAGCCGGGCTGCGGACGCGCTGGGAAGCCCTCAAAGCGAAGATCGGCCTCGTTCAGCTTGCTGAGATTCCTGTGAGCGCTGCGGGTTTAAGTCTCCTTCGCCCCTCTCTCTTTTTTCTTGCTGTTTTGTAAATTTAGCCGGTGCCTCAGGCACCAAAACTAAACCGAAAACTTGTGTAAACTTTGGCCCGTTATGGCCTTCTTTTGCTTGTTCTGTCTTTCTTTATTCTGCTTGCACAGTTTTCTCTCTTTGTCTGCGCTGTTGGGCACTTGAATTGAACTTGACGAGCCACTGACTGTCCCGTTTAGGACTTAGTCGCTTTAGGCTCTTGTCTTGCCTTCTGTCGCTCACAGCGTGGGATCGGATTAACTCCGATCTTCGCGTTGTAGCTCCAATGGGATCGAGAGAGCAACCCTTGGATTGCAGCAAAGAACTAACGTTTGCCTTTGCGGCCAACAGAAGAACTCGACTTCGACTCGCCTTTCGGCGAGTTGTTGTCTGGGGAACCGACAGACAGGTTGTCCGTCGAACCGCCTTCGACAATTGTCGTCATTTGGGAATGTGACAATTGATTGTGGTAGGAGTCATCGCCTGGTAGATTCTACCCATCAGTTATCCTAAAGCAATGTTAGGACATCTGGAATATGTCAAATAGTTCAGGGACGTAGGAGTGTGACTATTGACAGAAGTAATGGCACGTCGCGTGGTAGGCTATTACTTAGGCTATGCTATTCGTAAGAATAACGGCGCCAATCATCAGAGGTGATCATTAACTTGATGGGATTTTGTCGCGATTGGGGCGACTGTAGGGGCCTACCATTCTTCGGAAGAAGATTGGTAAGTAGATCGTGTCAGAGGTTTAATGTTAACGTGACAGGGAATGTCGTGATTGGAACGACTTTGAGGACCCACCATCCTTTGGAAGAGGATTGGCGAGTTGATTTTGTCAGAGGTTTAATGTTAACATGACAGGGAATGTCGTGATGTGAACGACTTTGAGGACCCACCATCCTTTGGAAGAGGATTGGCGAGTTGATTTTGTCAGAGGTTTAATGTTAACATGACAGGGAATGTCGTGGTTGGAACGACTCTAGTGGATCCGCCATCTCATTGAAGAAGATGGGCGAATTGGGCGTGTTTGTCGTGATGTGAATGACTTTAACGAATCCGCCATCTCATTGGAGAAGATAGGCGAATTGAAGGGGTTTGTCGTGATATGAACGACTTAAGTGGATCCGCCATCTCATTGGAGAAGATAGGCGAATGGATTTGTCGTGATATGAGCGACTTTTGTGAATCCGCCATCTCTTTGGAGAAGATAGGCTAATTGAATTTCCGCTGAGGCTTTCGCCAGAGCGGGTAAAGTAGGAACAGTTTAACCTCGTGTACCAGTTGGAGGGTTTGAGGGCCAGTTTAGACTCTTGCACTCGTGGGAGTGTGTGAAGGAGAACTACGGGTAGTACTTCTTCAAATACTTACCGTTGATGGGCATCATGATCTTATCTCCATTCGGCTTGACGAGGCGGTAGGCACTGTTCGAGTAGACTGTTTCTACTACGAATGGTCCTTCCCATTTGGACTGGAATTTCCCCTTCTTCTTGGAAGTGAGGATCATCGGTCGGCGAACGGAGAGCACCAATTCTCCCTCCTTGAAGGCTCGGCGCTTGACTTTTTTGTCGAAGTTCTTGGCCATTCGAGCCTGGTAGAACTCAATGTGCTGCTGAGCCTCCAGTCGCTTGTCGTCCAGGGCTTCGAGCTCTGCGAGTCGCCGTTGGTGATTTTCCTCGGCCGTCATCCCTGTCGCTAAGGCAACGCGGAGGGACGGAATTTGAATCTCTAATGGTAATACGGCTTCACAG